CCAGCTGGTCGTTCCGGTTCGCGCCGAGAATGGAACGTGAGCGGGACGCGCCCGGGAAAGGCAAGGAGGTAAAGGAACCGACACCAAGACCAGAGCTGTCTTGCTCGCCGATACCTAAACAAAGCTAGGGGAATTTTTCAAGTAGCGAACTGAAGCCGAATGCCCATGAAAGCGGCGACGCAAGGAGTCTCCAGCAACTAGTATCTAAAAACGTACCCAGCCTGCGCACCGATCGCGCCGATTCAAGGTCCTTAACAGGCCGGTTTGCCCTTGGGTTAGCCGCAGAAGCGGCAGTCTTAATAGTTCCCAGTGTTAAATAAACGCACTAATCCTTGAACTATTACCGGAAGGATGATTGCACTTTACTGGTGGGTAAGAAACCCCTGTCCGTAAGTCACGGGAACCAGAATTACACATTGCAGCGTGAATATACACACTTGGGCTGCTGGTGTAGCATGCGGACATAGCCATGCAACTAATGTATATTTTGTATCATAGTTATTCGCTTCAGGCTTTATTTCACGCATTGCTGACGGTGGACTCTTATGTTTGCGTTTCATGAATCTATTGCATTACTTTAGTGGATAGTCACTAGAAGCGTCAATACCCAACGAGGTTGGCATGACAACAGTACGTAAACAAACCAGCCGCTTCGGTGAATCCTTCGGGTTGCGGGACGTGGGTTGAATGCGGGAAGTAACATTGAGATCTGCATTGCGGTGACCGTGTGGGGTTGCAGCCGTACGTATCCCATTACAGGTGAGAATAAAACGTGACTTGGGCTTGAATAGTTTGAGAAACCCACATTTTTGTGTCACTTTGAGACGGCAATGGTTCAATATTTTGGTGAACTAGATGATCAGCACCGGTTCACCTCGTACTGCCTGATGCCATCATTTACCAAATGACCCATCCAGCCATCAAGGATTAAATTGTGGTGGATTTTAACAATGTCATTTGGTTGCAGCTATCTCAATTTAGTGCATGTTGCAGATTTGGAAATATCATACCCTGTTAAATAGTTCCTGTGTATGTCACTTTTCACTTATTGACAGTATTTTAAAACAGCACTGCTGGTGGGATGTACCATGGTTCAAGGAAATGAAATGATTAATCTTTAAATGTCATTCGCTGAGCTGACCCATTTCAAAATGCTCACCTTTATAGCCATCTTGACATGAATGTCTCATTTCTGGGTACCTGATAGTTGGGCTTTGCATTTTTTATTATTTTACAGGTCATGCACTCCAGGATGTACCAATTTCCCATCCCAAACCCACCTTTAAGCCCACCCCCACCACCGCACCCATGCTGTCCACCCTTATACCTACACCCACCCCATGCATGCCCATGCCCACACTCACAACCACTCCCACACCCATGGCTACAACCACAACCACAACCACAACCACAACCACAACCACACCCACACTCACAACCACAACCACAACCACAACCACAACCACAGCCATACCTGCAAGCAAAACTACACCTGCACCCACATCCACAACCAGTACCACAACCACAACCACAAATGCAAACACAAACACAAACACATACACATACACATACACATACACATACACATACACACATATTTGCATATATAGAACCCATATGGCTGTCGGCATAACAACGCCCTGGTAAATACCAAGCCATGAGAGCTTTTTGCGGTCATCAGGCTGTGCAACCCAGGTGTCTCTGTAAACACGCCCGCAGTCGTTAATGCCTGTTACTGTGATGCACGATAACCACGATCCCTGTGATCGGTCTAAGGTGTGGTGCATGTGCGGGTAAGGTGTGGTGCATATGCTACATACTTGAGATGGGTGTGTTCGTTTTAGCACACCTTTGAGGACTTCCTGAGATATGGACGAAAATGAGCCTTCTAGCGATTATGAGGAGTATACGTCCGAGACGGGCGGGACATCGACAGAGGACACCAGCTCTGGCTCAGAGAGCACCGATTATGAGACGGCGGATGCTGCATCGACCAGTAGCACAGGAAGGCGCGCTGGCCAGAACAATCTGGATAAACCTGAAGCATTTATCGGATATGACGAAATGGTTACTGGTACTGCGTGTACCCGTCAGAACAATCCAAGCGCACGGTTGCGTCCGGGTCACTACGACTCTAACCCTCGTGCAAATCATGCAAACAAGGTGACTGTAAGTGCAAACGGCGTAGCCACGCAGCTATCGTCCATGCACTTTGATTCACTCATTCAGCAAAACCCAGACACACACAGTTCAGATCTCCCAGAGGTCGTTGAGCTACAAAGAGGTAAGCTGAGCAAATATAATCAGCTGGCACACTCAAGTACTCCGATGTGTAAAATTAAAGAAGAAACGAGTGGCAATGCCTCGCTTTCGCTCAACGAGTGTAGTCTTCCGGGGATGGGATCCGGCACGGCTGTCGTTAAAAAGCAGCGTAAGCACCACACTGATGCATTTTCGAGCCTCGGTGATGACATGGCGAACTTAACAGACCGCGGAGAAGCCAAGAAGATAACCGGCGTGGACTGCGCAGAAGTCGATGCTGACGCAAGAAAATATAGAGGCCAGCCAGTGGTGGACTGTGGAAATGATCAGCATTCATTGAAAGAGGCAGAAGCAAGAGAAAATCTGGCTGTGATTGATGGTGCCAAGTCGGCGTCACGTCGGGCGCTGAAGGCGGCCGGCAGGCGGCGCGCCTCCGCCAGGGCGGCGCCACCGGTTCGGTTCGAGGTGGAGCTGCAGTCGAACTGGGGCAGCGAGGAGCGGGTGGGGCTGTCACAATTCTGCTTCTTGGACGGTCACGGCAGGAAAGTGCAGGTGGCGGCGCAACGTGACCTGGTGTCCGTGACGGGGGTCAGTGACCTGGCGAGCACGAGGACCGTATCGAAGCTGTTCGGTACCAGCGATCAGGTGGGCGGCAGCGGCTGGACGTGCCCGTTCAACTCCTCGCCCGTGTCGCTGAAGCTTCTGCTGTACCCGACTGACGGGAAGATCAGCGCAGTGAAAGTTCGGAACTACGGCAGCAGCGTCCGAGAGCAAGGCATCGGCGTACGTGACATTCAGTTGCGTATGGATGGCAGGCTGGTATACAATGGTGAGCTGCGTAAGGGTAATAGCCAGCCATCGGTGATCAAGGTAGCCTCACCTGGCTGCCAGCCAGAAAGAAGGGTTCAATCCGCGCGAGAGAAGTCCTCCCTCTGGTTCCCCGGCGGCGACAACAGACTCATCGAGCTATCCAGCGAAGAAGAGGATGAAGAGTGTCCCACACCGAACCCTCCCACCCAAGCCACGAACGCTGAAGCAACGCCGGGTGCTTGCCCCGCACCGCTGTGGTTCGGCGGTTGGTCCAGGCCGAGCCGCACGCCGGACTCGGCCGGGTCCCGCAGCGCCGAGTCGGTGGTGATCCAGGACCTGGAGAACGCCAGCCCCTGGGCCTCCCAGCGGCCGGCGCGTGTCGGCTCGGCGCGGTTCGGCCGGCGCGCCACGCCCGCCGGAGCCAGGCAGCGCCCCGGTGACACCCCCAGCCCGGAGTCGACGCTCACCGGCAGCGGCTCGGTGGCCTCCTCGCCGAGCGGCTCGGACGCCAGCTCGCCACAGCGCAGTGTTGACACGTCGCTGGAGGAGAGCTGGAGCCAGCTGGAAGCTTTCAACCTGCAGCAGCGCGGCCGTCTGGTCAACAGTGCGTTGGACGACGCCGCGTCCTGGACGGCCTGCTCGTCACGTGAGGCCACGCCCACGCCGGGGGTGATGACGCCGCTGTCGGTCGTCGAGTGCACCGATGACGCCTTCGCTGGGTGTGACTGTGACATACCAGAGCTACCCGAGTGCCAATGGCTGACGCTGAACATCAGGTCCACGTGGGGCGACATCCACTACGTGGGCCTGAACGGAATTGAGGTGTTCGACACCGACGGCCAGCCGGTCGAGGTGGTCTCGATCCGCGCCGAGCCTGCCGACATCAACGTGCTGCCCGAGTATAATCGCGACCCGCGCGTCGTGACCAACCTGGTGGACGGCGTGAACCGCACGCGCGACGACATGCACCTTTGGCTGGCGCCGTTCACGCCCGGCGGCGACCACCTGGTGCAGCTGGACTTCGGCCGGCGCCACCGGCTGGCGCTGCTGCGCATCTGGAACTACAACAAGTCGCGCTGCCACTCGTTTCGCGGTGTGCGCCACGTCGAGATCGGCCTGGACGGGCGGCCGCCCTTCTGCGTGGAGGTGGCACGTGCGTGCGGCGACACGCTGGGAGGCACGGAGGCGTTCGGCGACACGATCCTCTTCACCACCGACGACGCCGTGCTGGAGCGCGTGTCGCGACACGACGCGTCGTTCGCCGCCGAGCCGGCCGAGGCGCCCGAACGGTGGCGCAGGACCCGGCTGACCGGCCGCGGACGGCCGACGCCGACGAGACGGCCGAGCGGCCCTTCACCTCGGACCTGCAGGACCGACCACCGGCGTCGGCCGGGGACGGGCCACCGGCCGGCGCCGCACTGCGCGCCCAGCAGCTGCGGCTCGTGCTCACCTCGTCCTGGGGCGCTGAGTGTGTGGGGCTCACGGCGCTCGAGCTGCTCAGGGAGAACGGCGAGCCGGTGGAGCTGGCGGCCGCGCAGCTGAGCTGCTCGGCGCCGGGCCGCGGCCTGGCCAGCCTGGTGGACGGCCACCACATGACGTCCGACCCGCTTCACATGTGGCTGGCGCCGTGGTCGGCCGGCCACGCCGTGACGCTCACCGTCCGGCTGGCCGCCGTCACCTGGCTGTCAGGCCTGCGCGTCTGGAACTACAACAGCTGCGCCGAGGAGGCCGACCAGGGCGCGCGCACTTGCCTTCTGGAGGTGGACGGGCGCCGCGTGGGCCCGTCAGAGGCGTGCTTCTGCGTCCCGGGCCCGGTCATCTGCACTACAACTTCGGCCAGACGCTGGGCTGGGAGGGCGCCGCGTCGCCGCCGGCGCCGCCCCTTCGGGCGCCGCGGCCGGCGCTCGGCGACGGCCTGGCCTGCGAGGAGTACGAGGCCCCGGAGATGCCGCGCGGCTTCGTCTTCCAGCTGCAGCTCAACTCCAGCTGGGGTGACCCCTACTACATCGGCCTGACGGGGCTGCAGCTGTTCGACCAGGCCGGCCGGCCAATCACGCTCGCGGCGCGGCAGGTAGCCGCCCACCCGGACAGCGTGAACGTGCTGGAGAACATCAGCCACGACGTGCGCACTCCCGACAAGCTGGTGGACGGCGTGACGGACGGTCAAGATGGCCGCCACTCGTGGCTGGCGCCGCTGCTGCCCGACTGTCTCAACCGCGTCTACGTCGTTTTCGACCGGCCGCACACCGTGTCCATGGTGAAGCTGTGGAACTACGCCAAGACGCCGAGCCGCGGAGTACGCGAATTCGGTCTGCTCGTCGACGATCTGGTGGTATACAACGGCGTGCTGGGACGCGCGCCCGAGCCGGCGCGCGCCGGCGGCCGCGGGCAGCCCCTGCCCTACCACACGGTGCTGTTCACGGCCAACCGGGACCTGGTGCGGCGCGAGCGGCACTCGCTGTGCGGCGCCGCGCTCGACCACCACCACGTGCGGCTGCTGAACAACATGCGGCGGCCGGCGGGCGGGCGCGCGGCGTACGGCAGCGCCGGCGCGGTGGATGTGGACCAGAGCCGCCGGCCGTACACGTCGCAGACCTCGCTGACAGTCGGCCAAGCCACCTGACCGGCCGGTCCGGCCTGGCGCGCACTGCACAGCGCAGACGTGCGCTGCTGACCTCACGGGAAGCTTGTAACGATGCTGTGACCCTGCCACTGAGACGTGCGTATGTTGGTGTGAACCGTGTGGACCGTGTGGCGTAGGTTAGTGTGGTTGTCGCCCCGACCGTTGTGATCCTTCGTAACGTGTCTTCGGATGTCGTGCAGTGGAGATTGTCATTCCGTGCGAATAACTAATTTTGTGTGAATCCTGATAGAGATAGTTCATCCACGAGGTAACAAGAAACTGCACCACTTCTGTATGAAATGCAGACCGTTGACTAGCCGCGTGGTGTTGAAATGGCGTGCAATTTTGTTGGTGGACGCTGTCAAACCGTGCAATGTTGTTGGTGGACGTTGTCAAACCGTGCAATATTGTTGGTGGACGCTGTCAAACCATTTATCGTGAATGTCCGTCTAGTAAGCGCCGCGTCTCGGCAACCCTAGACGAGTTCTGACGGTGAATATCATAATAAGGTCAAATCTAAGAACGCCGGTTTTGAGTGCAATAAATAACAAAAACGATAACGTGACACCACTCGCAACTGGCACGCTATGTGACGTGAGTAAATGGAGATACCCCGCCCGCGAAACGTATCGCAAGGTGTCATCTTGATGCCGGGCTTTGCATTACGCAAGTATGCACAACCGCCGCTACAAAGGAGCAACGAGTGGCGGCCACCCGAGCGCGCGCGGTCAGTGTCCTACCACCGTCACGGTGTTTACTGCCGCGCCTCGGGCTGCACTTCTGCGCTGGTGCTAGTCACTGCGCTGTTGGGTTCTTCGTTGTGATTAAACTACTCTCATAGCCGTAGTTGACCCGCTCCTCGTGGACGTTGCTAAATAGTTCAAGCGTGTCACTCCACAGTCGTCGATGTCATGTACAGCATCGTCCCCCCGGCTATCTTGACGGCTGACAACGCTTCCCGCGGTCAACCATCAACCGCTCACGTGGCCGATCCGACGACTCGGCGGACAGCCGTAGCTCAAATTTGCCGACGGCTGGTATCCACTTATTCACGCTTTCTATGGAATTTGTATTACTTCATGTTACGACACACAACATACGGCATGTGATAAGGGCTGGTTAGAATGTCTACGGAATTAGCCACAATTGACGAGTTCAGTTCCATTTGCCTCAAGGCTATATTGTGATCGCGCACGCAGTAAAACCTACAGATAACTTTGCATCCAAATTTTTCGATCACCTAGGACGCAAAGGTATCTGCTACCAGCTCATAATCATACGCAGGAAAAACTCCAGCGACAGAAGAGGCATTTGACGTATTTGGGGACGATTGTTCGGTGATACGTTTGTCTAGATGTCATTGATGCAGATATTGTTGACAACTTTATCCAAAACTGGTGGCGGGCTTACAATGGGAAGCGGACAGGCTCTTCAAAGATGACACTTCCACGAGTCCCAATGTTTCGTGCTTTTATGACTATCTGTTCTTGAAGCTTCCACACTGATCAAAACATCACCGATTGCGTTTCTCCGCCTTCTTTCGTCTTCGTCCCTTGAATGTGAACGTGCGCTAGACTACCTGTCATGTCTTCATCAATGTACGTTAGGCTATCTAGTCTGCTCCCGGCACTGGAAAAGCGTCCCAATTATCTACTCGCACTATCAGAGTAGAAGTACACCAACCCCAGTCCACCTACCCTGGTCTACAACTTCACCATCTGGCACCGCACCACGCACGCTCAGCTGTATTTCTGTCCAGTCGCGGCCACTTCTCTCCTTGACCGTGACGTCACCGGGAGGGCGAGCCGTCCGGTCTCAGGGGCCAGCCAGGGCCGCGCAGGCTACGTCGGCGCTCGCTGCTCAGGTCCGTGACGGTCACAAGCGGCGGCTACGACGGCCGAGCGGCGGCGGCCCGGCTACGGCGTGGCTCATGCTTGGTCGCGCGCAGCTCCGACTGAGCGTCCGGCCTCCGGGCGTGTTCTCTGTTCGGTTCGTCCTGCTCGCGTTTGGGGCTGCTGGCGGATGGCTTTGTGAGCGGAGTTTCGTCGGCGTAGCGTCTGCTCCGCGCTCTGCCCGTTCTCCTCGTGCCTGCTGCTCGCGCCGCTGTCCCTGCGCAATGAGTTTCGCCGGTGCTGGTCGCTCGACTCCCTGAGGTTGGAGCCGCGCCGTCCCCGGCCCATCTCGCTGTCCAGCTGTCCCTGCTCAGCGCCGGTCGCCGCTGCTCGTTCTCGCAGCGCTGCCACACCTGCTCGTCCTCTGTGCGCTCGGAGAGTGGCGCCAGCGAGGGCACCGAGCGGCTCTCGCGCAGCGGCCGGCCGCCGAACGCCGCGTCCACAGCCAGCTGCTGCGCGCTCTGGCCAGCGGCCCTGCTCCTGCGGCCGCAGGGCGTGGGTGCTGCGGCCAGCGGGCGTGGTGCTGCCGGAGGCCGGCTCCCGCCTCTCGCCGGCGCCCGCCGAGCGCTTACGGCGCGGCTTCGACTCGGAGCTGAGGCCGACCGTCTCGAGGCGCGCGCTGGCCGAGACAGAGCGCTTCATGCCGCCGGCCGGCTCACCTGCCGCCCATCGACTTCAGCCGCGACGCCACGCTGAAGCTGCCGAGGCTGAAGGCCAGCGACGGCTTGCGCGTCTTGTAGGGTGCTCTGCAGCGCCGGGCCCTGGCGACGGTCGGGTCAGGCGGCGCTGTCTTCGGATGCTGCTTGGCGTTGCAGATGCGGTCCATGACGAACGAGCGGCGCATCTCACTGTATCGCTTGGCCTGCTCGGCCTTGTCCGTCGGGCGGCTTGACGCTGGGCAGCGGCTCGGGGCCGCTGGCCGGCACGGGGCGGCGGTGGGCGGCACCGGCCAGATCTCCGGGTCGCGGCGCATCACCACCACTATGTCGCCGCCGTCGATCTCGCGCTGACTCTCGAGCACGAAGCGCGGGTCAGTCAGCAGGTGGCGCGGCTCGGGGAACGTCAGGTGGTCATTGGTGTGCGGCCCGATGACGATGACGACGTCGCCGCGGAACTCGGCCAGGTACTGGCGCCATCCTCCCAGCTGTGGAAGTAGCACGTCATGAGTACCGAACCCTCCGGCACGTGGCGCGTCTTCACCTCGTCGATGTAGATGTGCTCGATGAAGGGCTTGACGCCGTAGCGGCCCTGCCAACCAGGCGCGGTCCACTTCGTACCCGACCACCTCGATACCTGCCGGCGCAGGAGGGATCGTATCATGCCGACGGGGGGCGTCACCGACGAACGTCAGGAACGGTGGTGTTAAAAAAGGAACCCGACACTCGGCAGACAGCGCGGGCCAACAATCGGCCAAGCTTTTCATGGCTCTCACCACCGGTCTGCCATGTCACTCGCACAGAGCGTCCGTAACCTAATTTCCAACGGCAAGCGCGACAAGACGCCGAACGAAAAAGGAGGAGGGTAATCACGACATCGAACCCTAGCCCCCCGCATACGTTCCTCGCCGCGGCGCACTTCCGCCACTGACCGCTGCAGGCCCGCTTGATGAGCCACTCGAGGAAGCCGCAGCCACAGGCCGACGCTGACAATGCGGGTGACCTGCAGTCGCCGCATCTCGGCGTGCAGGAACGACAGAAAGTCGCGCGTTGGGCCGGATCCAACACAGCAGCGTGTCGAGAAGCCCTCGTGGTGTGACATGTTCATAATGCACTCCCCATTCATCTGGACAAATGGGACATGGTTAATGACACACACGTCGTACCGCCCCTTCCCGGGCTTCTGTGTCCATACTCACATGTTTACCTCTGGCGTCTATGTGTTCGTCTGTCAGTCTGCTCATGTCTATCTGCCTGTGTCTGACTATGTGGCTGGCCGTGTCTGCCTGTACCTGTTCGTCTATATCTCGCTTCAATCTTTCTCGTCTTCTCTCTCTCTCTCTCTCTCTCTCTCTCTCTCTCTCTCTCTCTCTCTCTCTCTCTCTCTCTCTCGCTCTCTCTCTCTCTCTCCTCTCTCTCTCTCTCTCGTCTCTCTCTCTCTCTCTCTCTCTCTCTCTCTCTCTCTCTCTCTCTCTCTCTCTCTCTCCTCTCTCTCCTTCTCTCTCTCTCTCTCTCTCTCTCTCTCTCTCTTCTCTCCTCTCTCTCTCTCTCTCTCTCTCTCTCTCTCTCTCTCTCTCTTCTCTCTCTCTCTCTCTCTCTCTCTCTCTCTCTCTCTTCTCTCTCTTCTCTCTCTCTTCTCTCTCTCTCTCTCTCTCTCTCTCTCTCTCCTCTCTCTCTCTCTCTCTCTCTCTCTCTCTCTCTCTCTCTCTCTCTCTCTCTCTCTCTCTCTCTCTCTCTCTCTCTCTCCTCTCTCTCTCTCTCTCTCTCTCTCTCTCTCTCTCTCTCTCTCTTCTCTCTCTCTCTCTCTCTCTCGCTCTCTCTCTCGCTCTCTCTCTCTCTCTATCTCTCCTCTTCTCTCTCTCTCTCTCTCTCTCTCTCTCTCTTCTTTTGGTATAAGCCCCCCTTGCAATACTCGTTCCCTATCTTCCAACTTGTGTCTCACATCCCTTTTCCCAGTCAACTTCATCTCCTCTGCATCTCCCTCACGCACGGCCTATTTCATGGGTCTGAGTCGGGCGGTGCGCAGGCTCGCTCGCCTCCACTGCTGATGTTGGCTCCGTGGCCCGGCCCCGCTCGCCTGATACCGCCAGTCCCGCATTCCGGGCTCCCGTTCGGCTTACGGGCCGGCTGCCAGCGGCAGCTGCCACCCGCCATATACTGGTCCCACGCCCAACGAAGAACGCCTGATGCACCGGCACACGAGGACATGAGATATGTCGGCACCCCGCACCCAGCGGAGAGTAAGCCATGTTCTGACACCACCCACCCGGTAGAGGGCACATGATGGACCGTCAACACGTCCTTAGCCACGGCACGCCGGCGCCGTTGTAACGAGCCAAGGACGCTCGATTATGAGATCCACTTAACCCCGTCCCTCCCCCCCACCCGTGTGGCACGCAAGAGAAACTGACACCACGCAGCCAGTAGAGAACACGCGATATACCAGCACCACGCAACCGACAGGGATAACCCATATATCGGCACCATGTAACCAACCGAGGGCGCATCACATACCGACATCACGCAGTCAGCACAGAACACACAATGCAACGATGTCAACAGTCAACAGAGAAATACAATATATTGGCACCACGTAACTAGCAGAGAGACCCACACACCACCACCACGCGCATAACAGAATACGCGGTATACCGACACCGCACAACCAACAGATGATACATGATTTTGGCCGCCACCAAAAAAAAAACAAAAAAGCCACATGCAACTGGCATCATATATCAACAGTGAACTTATGACATCAACCAAGTTAACCGGGACGGAGAACAGGCATGCTGTCAGCCCCACCAGTGCGAGAGCGTCCCAAGCCGCCCCACCGGCATGCATCACACGGTCTCAGCATCAGCAACGGTTCCTCTCGATCGGTAAGCCAACCAGCTAGCCATGTCGTCACACCATCAGCTTCAGCATGTAAGGGGACAGAG